CAGAATTCTACTTGTGCCCAGCTCTGCCCCTAGCATGGCCCCTGTGTCCCTGGGTGTGGGTGGGGTGGTGGCCTCCTACCTGGCCTTGGGTAGAGCAGACTCATTTGCACAAGAGGAGCCGGCCTCTTTGCCAAGCTCTGCGTTCTCTGCTACCTGGGAAAATGGATGGCAGCAGGCACATGGTGAACAGAGCTCTTGGCTGATTATTAACAATTTGCTGCTAAGTAAACCAATAAGAGAAAAATGAAAGGCATTATCAGGGAGCATTTTTATCATTCAAAAGACTTTCAGAATAGAAAGTGAGGCTAATATGATATGTTTTCACTGGAAGTTGAAAGCACTGTAGATTTCACTTGCTCCAGTGTTGGCATTTCTATGCATGCATTTGGGTCAGTTGCGCCAGATGTGGATCAATGGAACTTTGTCTTCTGGGTGAGGTACTGCCAGTTAGTGGCTAGGTGCATAGTGCTTGCACAGCCTTCTGGGTTGCAGAGATCTCCAGCAGTACAACCCAACAGCAAAATAGCACAAGCCACAAATATCAACCACATATGCCGTTTTACTAGAAGCACATTAGGTTCCTGGGTGGCACAAATGGTTTGCCTTCAGCTATTAACCAGAAGGCTGGCAGTATAGACTCACCCAGTGGTGCCACAGAAGAAAGACCTGGCAGTCTGTCTCTGTAAAACCAAAAACCCTATGGAACAGTTCTATTCTATAGCACATGGGGTCACCAAGAGTCAGAATCAACTTGATGGCAATGGAGTGTGTTTGGTTTAGGGTTTAGGAGCACATTAAATAAAAGTAAAAAGAAACAAGTAAAGTAAATTTTAATAATGTATTTTACTTAACCCAACATATCCAAGCTATTCAACATGTAATCAATATAAAATAAATTTTTTGAGCTGTTTTACATCCTTTTCTTCATTCTTTATCTTTGACACTTTCAACCTGTCTCAGTTTAGAACAGCCACATTGAAGTGTTCAGCAGCCACTTGTGGCAAGTGGCTACTATATTGGACAGTCGTGAGGGTGTGAGTGGGCAAGAGGAAGTGAAAGCTTGGATAGGTAGTTGTGAACAGGAAGAAGAAAGGGGATGGGGGCTTGGGGAAGGGAAGAGGAAACCTCTAAGATCTCAACGTTCCTGCCATCCCTTGTGGGGCAGCAAGCCCATGATACAGGCAGGACAGGACCTTCAAACTAAGAGGGAGCTAGAAGAGGAAGAGTTGGGTCTTGGCTGGGCCAGAAAGAAGTTTCCTGGTGACCTTTAGAAAGAAGTCCCAGTAGGAGATAAACCAGAAGGACCATCTACTTTTTCACTCTGCTGTGTAAATGACTAATACCACCTACTCCACTCTCCTCAGTGAAATAAGCAGACCAAAAGATTAAGGTCATAAAGGACTTGCACACACACCAACACATGCCAAGCTCCAGTTGAGCCGTTGAGTCAGCTCCAACTCATGATGACCCCATGTGTGTCAGAGTAGAACTGTGCTCAATGACCAATATTTTGGAAGTAAATTTCCAGGCCTTTCTTTCAAGGCATATCTGGGTGGACTCTCAAGCCTCCAACCTTTCAGTTAGCGGCCCAGCATGTTAATTTTCGCATCATCCAGGGACTCCATGTCAAGCTCAGAGGCAGCAATTTCACCTATACAAGTGAGGACGGCAGCCTTCAGTTAAATAATCAAAGCAAGTGACTAACAACCAAAAGGTCTACTAAGCACAGCCTGCTTGCTCATGTGTGACAGAAAGCTTTGGTGGCACATTTGCCCTGTGTCATAGAAGAAGCCACTTCCAGGAGGCCACATAGACAGCATGGCTTTGATCAGCCCAAGGAAAAGACCCAAAGGGATGGGCACAGGGACAGAAAAAAGAGAAAAGTTCGCTCCATGTTCCTGGCCAGGAGCATGGTGGGATGGGCTAAGGACTATTCCTTCAGAAAAGGCTTCCCAGCAAGGCCCAGTGTTCCCATTAGCCCTTGAGAGGTGAACCCCCCACAGGCCATATGTGGTAGGCTCAGTTGCTGGCAGGTCAATTATGGCTACCCTTGGCTGCCCCCCTTGCTCTCCTGAGCCATTTTGCCTACGGTGGCCTCTGCAGTACCCAGCGCTCACCACAAGGGTCAGATCAGGCTCCATCCACACTTCCTGCCAGGGACCTCAGCCCAGCTATTTACTCTCCTGGGCCTCTGATAAGGAGACAAAGCCATCATCTCAGGGACTCAACTGTCAGAAAGAAAGGTGAGGGTACGTTTGTTTCCAGTATAGTGAAAAATTTTATTTGAAAATTTCTGAAACAGTAGGAGCGAGCACACAAGAGAATTCCTGTGCACCTAGCATGGGCATACCTGCCTCACCACAAAGCTGGCCCCTGAGCCCCACTAGGGTGGGTGGGCACCTTAGATGATCACTCTGATGACTAATTGGAAAATGCAGGCAAAACAAGTAGCACAAAGTAGGTTATCATTTAATGGCAACTAATGATAATTCACGTGGAACTCTATTATTTGGAAGAAGTGCATGTAACCTGGCATATAGTAGGTGGTGGTCATGTTGAGTGAATGGTCTGCACATAGTAGGTAGAGTAAGCAGTGAGGTGAGTGCTCCCACATAATAGTGAGTTTAGGACCGGTGGGGCAAGTGGTCTATGCATAGTAGGGTAGAGGGCTAATGATGTGGGTAGTCAGGCTCATGGTAGGCTGTGGTTCAGTGGGTGAATGGTAAGCAGATAGTAGGTAGAGTGAGCCATGAGGTGAGTGATCTGCACATAGTAGGGGGGACAAGCAGTGAGGTGGGTGGTCTACACCTAATAGGGGCAGTGGGGACTGAAGTTAGTGGTTATCAAGTAGTAATCTGGGCTCCTTGGGGTGGGTGGTCTGTATGCAGTTGGTAGAGTCTGGGGTGGGGGTGGGTAGGCAACCTGCAGTAGGTGGGGCCTGGGGTGGGGGTGAGTGGTTGGGCTCACCTCTCCACGATCTTGCTCCCCACAGCACATCAACAACGATCACATTCATGGGGAGAAGAAGGAGTTTGTGTGCCGATGGCAGTCCTGCACACGGGAACAGAAGCCCTTCAAGGCACAGTACATGCTGGTGGTGCACATGCGCCGGCACACAGGCGAAAAGCCCCACAAGTGCACGGTGAGTGCAGCCCTTTTGCTGCCCTGACTCCCTACGTACAGCAGCAAGTTTAGGATCATCAGCCTGATGAGGTTGCTCTTGTTTGAACATGTCTGAGCAAAGGCAAACCTAGGGTGAAGTGGGCTCATTACTTGAGCAGGTCTGGCTGGCTGGGTCCCTGTCTGCTCCTGCCCTCTGTCAGTTCTCTCTCCTGGGTTTCTGCCTTCTGAGTCTAGAAGCTCTTCACCTAGCTGCTGTCTTAGACTTTTGGTTTCTCTGGCTATGTACACCTGATCTGCAAGGTGAGTATGCTAGCATCCTCATCACTGTGGGCCCCAAGGCCCAGCTGCACCCCACAATTGGCATGGTGGGGCAAGTCCAGGGCAGAGGAACTGTCTCCAACATACCATGCAGCCTGTCCTTGCACAGGACAAACTTCATTGGCGATTCCCAGCTTGAGAAGTGATGGGTTAAAAGCCACTATGGTTGAGTTTAAAAACAGAGTGAGTTCAAAGATAAGACCCTCCTTACCCCTTATGGAATCAACAGAATTTGAGGCTGTATTATAACAGGTGAGTCTTCCCAATTTTGACATATAGAAACTTCCCCCTTCAAAGGGCAGTGGTCCAGGGATGCAATGATGCAATGATGTGGTGGTGGCTGAATCATCTGGGACAGCCTCTTTGTGAACTACCATACATCATTGGTTCTGAGACATCCATTTTGTTCTCATGTTAATATCCCTAGAATCAGGCTGTTTCTTAAATTCAGTGGTGTCCAAGACCATTCACCCACTGGACCACAGCTACCTTTGTTGGTGAGGATTTTTTTTTTTCAATTGAGATATAATTCATTTATAAAATCTCCCCCTTTTAAAATGTACAATTCAATGATTTTTAGTATATTCACAAAGTTTTACAACCGTCACCACTAGCTAATTCCAGAATGTTTTCATTACCCCAAAAGAAACTCTATACCTGTTAGCAGTCCCTCTCCTTTTCCTTTCCCCCCAGGCCTAGCAACCACTAATCTTTTTTGCTGCCTTTGGATTTGGCTATTCTGGAAATTTCATATAAATGGAATCATATAAAATGTAGTTTTGGGGCACTGACTTATTTCACTCTGCACAATGTTTCCAATGGTCATCCATGTCCATGTTTCCAATGGTCATCTATCAGGACTTCATTTCTCTTTATGGCTGAGTAACATTCCATTGTACATATGTATCACATTTTGTTTATCTGTTCTTCTGTTGACAAACATGTGGATCATCATGTTTACAGGCACAGAAAAATTCTAATGTAGGGAGTAATATTGGGTGGCAGTTAAGGACCAAGTTTACAAAAAGTGCTTAGTGATACGGGAAGATTCCCACAATCTTGTGTTAAAGAAGTGTGTGGGGATGGATTGCATAAATGCCAGAATGAGATTTACCTGGATGTTGGCAGCTCTGTCCTTGGGCAGCCAGTAGTTTTCATTTTCCTGTTTGTACTATAGTGACCATATGTCATCTTATAATCAGAAAGAGAAGTAAATGGCGTTGCGACAATCCACACTTTAGGTGCTCCAGCAGGGAGGAAGGAGGGGTGCAGGCCAGCCACTGGGGTCAGGTTCCTGGTGTGGGATTGAGCTCTCACTGACCCAACCCCACCTCATTCCAGTTCGAGGGCTGCTCCAAGGCCTACTCTCGCCTGGAGAACCTGAAGACACACCTGCGGTCCCACACTGGGGAGAAGCCATACGTGTGTGAGCACGAGGGCTGCAACAAGGCCTTTTCCAATGCCTCCGACCGCGCCAAGCATCAGAACCGCACCCACTCCAATGAGGTACCAACCAGCCTGCTGACATACTTGTAAACAAATCCCCCAGTGACTTCTGGACATCTGTAGGCCAGTAGATGGCCCAGGTGCCCTTACTCACCACTGACTTGCTGCATGGCCTTAAGCACAGAGACCTGGTGGAGGTCCTATAAGCCACTGTCCAGTGGAGAGGTTGTGGGCAAGGCAGTCACCCTCTTTGGGCTACCTCCTCTTCTCTGAGAGAGAACTGATGAAATGGTCTGCAAGACCCCTCCACAGACTTACTTCCCTGTTCTTCAGTTTTCTCATCTGTAATAAATACAGTAGCATGCCACTCTAAGGCCACCACACTGTCCACATAAGCCAAAGTCACGGCTGGATGTCCTCTTAGAGCAGCTAAAGAGTCTCCTTATCCTTGAAGGGATGAAATCACTCTCCCAAGCACCATGCAGCTTCTAAGTCGGGCCATAGGTTTGGAACCTAGGAATGCTGGCTCATCTGTAGCTGTGAAAACATCCTAGGGCATGGGTTCATATTCCTGAGCCACCAAGATTGAAAGTCATCATTTCTGCAGTAGGCAGGGGTTAGATTTGGGACAACTGCATTACTGAGTCCCTTCCCCAGAGGTCTCTGTAGCCAGCAGTATGCTGCTCTGGCTGCTAGTGCTGAATGGGTCTGCCATGGCAGCAGCCCCCAGCCACAGTCACTCCAGGTAAGTAGAGCCTCTGGCAGGGCTGAGAGACTGGGAAGGAAAGTCAGGCAGGAGCCAGTCGTACCTGTGGCGTTCACCTCCAAGACCCACCCAACCACTCAATTTCTGTCACTCAGGCAGACTTGGGGGAATAAAAGTGTTTCTGGAAGATTAAAAAGGGCCTTTGCTCCAATGCTTGTAAGAAGTATGAGGAATCCCCAGAGATATTTGAATTCCTTGAAATCTTACAGATAACAGGCAGCCTTGGAGAGGTCTGTGTGTATGCCAAGTGTGTAGATACACACACACACACGTACACATGTGTGTCTATGAGCCCAGAACTCAGATTCAGAAAACCTGGTTTTTCATCCCATTACTGGGAACTTTGAGCAAGTTTCTGCCTCTGTGAGGCTCTCTTTCCTCAGCAGAGAAGCAGGGGAGTGGTAGCACAATCTCATATGAAAAACTCCAGTGTACTGTTAACAGGGGAAGCAACATGGTGAGCCCCCCCCCCCCACCACCAAGGCATGTGTGCTTTTCTCCCCAGCAGTAGCAGTGTGTGGCAGGAGCTACATTAACCCTGCACTTCTGTACAGGAAAAGGTGTCAAACCAGAGGGAGCCGCGCTCTTGCAATCCTGGGGCTGCTGCAGCTCCATCCAAAGGGCTTTGGCTATAAATATGGCAGAGCCATGCCGACCCTGCCAGCCAACCTCTGTGAAGTAATGGGTGACTTCAAGAGGACCTGAAGGACCCATCTATATCCCTGATCCATAACAGGCTTGGGTGTCTTTCTAGAAACCCTACATCTGCAAGATCCCAGGCTGCACCAAGAGATACACGGACCCTAGCTCACTTCGGAAGCATGTGAAAACAGTACATGGCCCAGACGCTCACGTCACCAAAAAGCAGCGAAATGATGTACACCTCCGTGCCCCACTGCTCAAGGAGAATGGAGACAATGAGGCCAGTGCAAAGACAGGCAGACGGGGCCCTGAGGAGAATACTGAAGCCACCAACACCAGCCAGGCCGTGGAGGACTGCTTGCACATCAAAGCCATCAAGACCGAGAGCTCCGTGGTAAGCAGAGCTGGCAGCTGTGTCCCCAGACCATGCAGCCTTTCCCCAGCTGGCAGCAGGGCACTTCTATCACCCCACTCAGAGTCTGTGGCCCCTACTATAGCTGGGCATTCTGCCCCAGGGCATGACAATGACCCTTTTTCCAATCTGGTCTCCCTCCTCCTTTCACTTTGGGCCTCATGTAGAACCTATCTGTCCTGGATCCTGTTCCATCTGTAGCCTGGCCCTTGCTGGCAGGGCTGTGGGAGATGGGAATCATGTGCCTGCCCCCTAGGGGTCCATCTGCATGGGATGGGGTGGCTCCTGTGTGTCTGCCTCTCCAACAAGCACCACCTGCTCACTTCCCTCCCCTCTGTCCTGTCTCTGCACCCAGGCCTCTCTGGCCTGAACTCCTTTTGTTCTAACCACCTGTTCTTTGTCTCCACCTTTTTCCCCGACTGTACCTCCCCTAAGGATAGACAGTACTGAGGTGAGCGGAGAGCCTGGTGGGTGGGTGCGGGGGGCTGCGGCGTGAGTGAGGGTGGGGCAAGGGACGGAAACTGTCTTGTCATCTAGGCCCCGAGACTCACTCACTCCACTTGGGAGTTTTCTTCCTTGTGCTGACCCCAATCCCAGCCCTCTAGCAGACATGGACCCAGGAAGATAGGTTTGGGCAGGCCAGCGGGAGGGTCATCAGGTGGGACCATTAGAGTAGGTTCTAGCAGGGATGCAGCTGGCTGGTGCCAAAAGCAGTGGGGACAGAGGACTGCCATTGTTAGTTTAGGCTGCAGAGGTGGGATGGGCTGGCCTATAGAGGATCTTAAGTGCCAAGGAAAGAAAATGTCTCCTGGGCAGCAGGAGTACTGCAGAAAGGCCTGGACTTTGGGGGCATTCCACCTATGCATGAGCCCAGAGCTGCTACATCTGAAATGAGCCTCACTTGGGCTGCCAGATCTGAGATCCCAGTAGATAGAGATATAATGGGAAGTCTATGGTTCCACACCATGTGTGCATGGGATGAGCTCTCTGCCCCACTCCACCCACCTCCCTCCATAAGTGTCAGCCAAACAGAAACCAGTCTGGAGCCCAGGTGACATGCCATTCGCAGTAGCCATCTGGGCAGTGGCTGCATGCAGCACTTCAACCCTTCCTGACCATCCTCTCCTTCCCAAAAACCTGCCTTTGGCTTGTTGTGATCACATTCCCACACTAGCAGAAGGCACCATGTCATTAGGCTTTCCTTGTCCTTAACTTCACTGTGCAACACATGGTTATTGCTGGGAATGCTTATGTGTCTTCTTTCATGCCAACTTTATCAGACTGTGCAGACTCCAGGGGTCACAGCCTCAATGTGGCCAAACATTTCAAGTTCAACAGGCTAAACTCTAGCCCACATGCAGGCTGGGAGAGTGTAAGCACACAGATGGAGTTATGGAGCTAATGGTATTGGTGCCTTCTTCATGCTGGGTGCTTTCCATTCATCATTATCCTTGCAGCAGAGGCAGTTCAGGTTCAGAGAGGTGAAGTGACTTGACCATCTCATGGAAAAATGTCAAATGGTGCTTTGAAAGCCCCTCTGTGCACAGCTTCTTTCCCTGGATGTGTCAGTGTTCCCCATGGGTATAGGTGTGGGTGCAAGATAAGCAGATCTTCATACCCCGAGTCTATACCTTCTCACTGTGCCCTCACAGCTGTGTCAGTCCAGCCCCGGGGCCCAGTCATCTTGCAGCAGTGAGCCCTCTCCTTTGGGCAATGCCCCCAACAATGACAGCAGTGTGGAGATGCCAGGGACGGGGCCTGGGAGCCTGGGAGACATGACAGCACTGGATGATATGCCCCCAGGGGCCAATGCCCCAGCCCTGGCTGCCCCTTCAGCTGGTGGTCTGCAGCTGCGCAAACATATGACCGCCATGCACCGGCTTGAGCAGCTCAAGAAGGAGAAGCTGAAGTCGCTCAAGGATTCCTGCTCATGGGCCGGGCCAGCTCCACACACCCAGACCACCAAGCTGCCTCCCCTCCCAGGAAGTGGTAAGTGGGCCCAGGGCAGGGAAGGGGCAGAGCCAAGGGCAGAGGTACAGAGCTACCAGATGCCATGTGCTATCTCACTGAATGCCCATAGTAGGATAGATCTTACCAACCCCATTTTACAGATTAGGAAACTGAGGCTCAGAGTTGTCAAAGTGCCTCTCCCAAATCAATGGTAGAGCCCATGGTGGTATGGGTCCAGAGCCCATTCTCTTTCCACTAAACCATGCTGCATTCACATGAGCCCTAAACAGACAGACCTGCTCACATTATCTTCTTCCTCGTCCACATGTTCTGTCATGTATTGGGTGCCTGCTGTGGGACACTGTGCCAAAGGCCCTAGGAAGAAAAGCAGTATAATACTGGTCTTAGAGGCCATGCTACCAGATGCATGCACAGTTGACTGCAGGACAAATTAATAGCACCAAAGACAAGTTAAGGTTAGGGCATTCAGAGGAAGAGAAAGCTGGGAAAGAGCAGGAGGGACCGCATAGAGGAAGCAGCACTGTGCATTGCCTCACAAAGTGATGGCCAGGCTTTGAGATGGCAAGTGTCTTCAGTGAGCATTTCCTGATTGTTCTACCCCAGCATTGTCCTGGCCACCAGCACACCAGGGCCTCTAGCCCCTACTCTGCTCTACAGCACATTGTGTTAGACACTAATGCTCTACCTAGATACCTCTTGAAGGAAGGATTTGTCAGCAGACTACTGGCAGATGGCCTTCAAGTCTCAGGCACTATAGGGATCATCTTGGTTGCAGATATCCTAGGTCATGCCCCTTCCTGAGGTAGCACACATCCAAGGACTGATCAGTGCCAGGGTATAACAGCCTGGCCATCTTGGCCCAACTCTGCATAGCACAGAAATGGGGTTCCCTATGAGACTAGCCAAGGCCATCCTCAGGACCTGCATCAACATTCTTCTCTTCCCCACTCCTGCTGCCCTTGCTCCAAGCACAAGTGTGGGTCCCAGGAGCATCCTCCCAGGGAGCCCAACTGGTAACAGGTGTCCACAGATCATGAGGTACAGGTTCCATACCAGGCCTCCCCCCCAGGGCTCCTCCTCTCCTTCTCTCAGTAACCCAACCCACAGAAAGGCACGTTTTATCTTCACATTCCAAAGCTGGAGAAACTGAAGGCCATATGTAAATAAGAATACAGGACCAGCTAGGCAGTGGTAGAGCTAACACTAGTACTCAGGATTTCTGAATTTCACTGGCCCACTCTTAACAATAAGTGCCCTCATTTGTTCACTGTTGTTCCTCCCTTCCTTCTTTATATTCACAAAATGTTTATTGAGTCCCTGCTGTACACTGGGCACTGCTCTATGGCTCCCGCAGCTGCAGGTCCAGCATGTGTAAAGTAGGCAGATCACTGTCCCCATCTCGGAGCTAACCTCTCTCCTTCCTCTCAGGCGCCATCCTAGAAAACTTAAGCAGCGGTGGGCCAGCAGGGCTGCTGCCCAACCCGCGGCTTTCCGAGCTGCCTGGGAGTGAGGTGACCATGCTCAGCCAGCTGCAGGAGCGCCGAGACAGCTCCACCAGCACGGTCAGCTCGGCCTACACCGTAAGCCGCCGCTCCTCCGGCATCTCCCCATACTTCTCCAGCCGCCGCTCCAGCGAAGCCTCACCCCTGGGCCCCGGCCGCACCCACAACGCCAGCTCTGCCGACTCCTATGACCCTATCTCTACCGATGCGTCCCGGCGCTCCAGCGAGGCCAGCCAGTGTAGTGGCAGCAGCTCGGGACCACTGCACCTTACTCCAGCGCAGCAGTACAGCCTACGGGCTAAGTACGCAGCTGCCACCGGTGGGCCTCCGCCCACACCCCTGCCCTGCCTAGAGCGCATGAGCCTGCGCACCCGGCTGGCGTTGCTCGATTCGCCCGCGCTGGAACCTACGCTACTGCCGCCATGCCCACGGGCCCTGGGTCCGCGGCGCGGCAGCGACGGCCCGGCCCCTGGCTGTCCTGGGCCGGCGCCTGCCTTCGCCCATGATGTGCTGGGCCACGGCGCTCGGCGGGCCAGCGACCCAGTGCGGCGGCCAGAGCTCACAGCTCTCCCGCGGGTGCAGCGCTTCCACAGCGCCAGCAACGTGAACCCGGGCGCGCTGCTGCAGTGCGCTGAGCGCCGTGCCTTTGGCCTGCAGTCCTATCAGCGTCCGGATGGTGGAAAACTTCAGCGGATGGTGGAAAACTCACCACGCCCCCCCAGCATCAGCGAGAACGTTGTGATGGAGGCTCTGGCAGCGGAGGTGGACGGCACGGGGCCGGAGGACGACTTCGTGCTGCCCGATGATGTGGTGCAGTATCTTAAGGCTAGTGCAAGCGGCACCCTGGAGGAGAGTGGCCCACAGGTCTATCCCGCCGAAAGCACCGGCTTCTCGGAGAACCCCAAGCTGCCCAGTCCGGGATTACACAGCCAGCGTAGAATGGTGGTGGCAGGCTCCAACATTAGCCCCTCTGCTCCCGTGCTGGGAGGGTGCCAACTGGGCTATGGGGCACCTGTGAGCCTGAACAAAAGCAACATGCCTGTGCAATGGAACGAGGTGAGCTCAGGCACCATGGACGTCTTGGCTAGCCAGATGAAGCCTCTGCCCTTTCCACAGGGCAATTTGGTTGTGGTGCCACAGAAACAGGCCCTTGGCCAGTACCCAAGCTACAGTCAACAGGGGCTGCAGTCTAGCCCAGGGGTTCTGGACAGCATGCAGCCACACCTGCAGCCCCACTCTGGATCCAGGGTAAGCTATATGCAGCAGCTTCGCCAGCCATCCATAGGTGGCCAGTGCCCCAGCATGACCACTGCAGCAAGCCCCCACTCCAACTATGGCCAAGCTCACTCCCAGCTGAGCCCCAGCACCATGGGAGGAGCCCTGAACCAGTTCTCTCCATCCTGTAGCAACATGTCAGCCAAGCCAGGCCACCTGGTGCTCCCTCAGCAAAGAGACATTGCTGCAGAGCCAGCCATGATAGGTAGCAGCCACAGAGAACTTGGGGTCCCCAATTCCACCCTGGCTGTAGCATCCCCATCTTTCCCATCCCAGAACTACCCACAGCAGAGCCATCACCTGGCAGCCACTGTGAGCCAGGAGGGCTACCACCAGGGACCCAGCCTTCTACCTTCCCACCAGCCTGGCTTTATGGAGCCCCAGCAGGGTATGATGGGGGCAACTGCATCAAGCTTTGGCCTAGTACAGCCCCGGCCACCCCCTGATCCTAGCCCTGCCAGCCGCCACCGTGGGGTGCGTGCTGGGCAGCAGCTGGCCTATGCCAGGGCCACTGACCATGCCATGACTGCTGGAGTGGCCAGTCAGGAGACAACAGAGGCCATGCCCAAGGGAGCAATGGGCACTATGGTGCCTCTACCCCAACAGCCACCCCAACAGGACACAGACGGAGCCCAGGACCACAGCCTGCTTTACTACTATGGCCAGATCCACATGTATGAGCAGAATGGAGGCATGGGGAGCCATGTGGACTGCCAGGTCATGCAGACTCAAGCCTGCCCAGACAGCATGAAGCCCCAATCCTTGCCCTCGCCAGGGGTCAACCAGGTGTCCAGCACCGTGGATTCCCAACTCCTGGAGGCCCCCCAGATTGATTTTGATGCCATTATGGATGATGGCGATCACTCAAGCTTGCTCTCGGATGCCCTAAGTCCCAGCCTCCTCCACAGTCTCTCCCAGAATTCCTCCCGTCTCACCACCCCCCGGAACTCCCTGACCCTCCCCACCATCCCCACAGGTATCAGCAACATGGCTGTTGGAGACATGAGCTCCATGCTCACCAGCCTAGCTGAGGAGAGCAAATTCCTGAACATGATGACCTAAGCCCCAGGCTCCTGGCACCGAGCAGACCTGGAGGAACCACTTCCCAGACCATAGGGATTTTGTCTTTTTCCGAAAAAGTATTAAATAAGTCTGAGGGATTTTTGCTAATGGTTGCCTCAGATCACAACTGCTTTAAAGGAAGTTTCATGCACAGCTTCTCTGATCTTTCAGGGTTATTTTTCAGAACACTGAAAAATCTCAATAAGAAAGGAAGGCAGGAATGAAAAACTCATTTACACAGTGCTTTCCAGCTTTTGGTATTTATAGGACTGCTGTGTTCTGGCTCCTTCACCTCTGTCATTTGGCTAATGAAGGATTACATTGGCCAAGGGCTTTCCAAGTACACAGGGAAATGGGAGAGGAGCCACATTGGGGTTGAATCCGAAAGCCATACAGAATATTCTGCTGCAAGACGATTAGCTTCTAATTCCAATACATGCAAGGACAAGGAACTCCTAGTTAAACAGAACTCTGTCAATCTTGATGCCTCTAACATCACTTGCCACAAAACTGATTTCTACTTGAGTGATTTGGAAGCTATTCCCAATTCCAAGGTTGGTAAAGCTGCCATCACTATCCCATAAAGCCATGCACAGGACCCGCAGACTGTCCAAGTGTATACAGATGAATAAAGTATCAGAAAAAGTAGTAACACTCTCGAGGCAAGCCCCGAAGCTGCCCTGGCTTCCCCAGCCTGTGTTTACAGTGTTTGTGTGTGTAGCATGTAGCCTTTCCTGCAAAGAAAATTTATCATTTCTAATACCTCGGGGACACAGGAGCTGCTGTGGGTCAGGGATGGATCAAGGTGAGCTGAAGCACCAGTGCCTCGAGAAGGGGTGAGGGTTCACAAAGGGCCCAGTTAGGAAGAAGTTGCATGTTTACCAAATCCTCTGTTTCTCCAATGCACTATATGCCCACTTTACCATGGAAAGCTCCAGGGGTGGATCATAGCCCCTCTGCCCAGGCTGACCTGGGCATTGCTCTCCAGTTACCAGCAGCCCAATAGTCTGTACCAAGGCACAGTATGCAGTCCCCAGAATCTTCTAGACCCTTGCCCTCTGGTCCTCCCTGCCCATTTGGCTGAGAATGTTGACATGCATGATGTTTTGTGGTGGGTGGAGGGTGAAAGGGTTAATTCTTGGGACTCTTAAGGACCATCACTGAATTTTCCTATTTGGTGATACCAAAACCCACCTGGAAATGGAATTTGGAACTTGGCTTCATGGGGTGAGTTGTTCAAGGGATGAATTGATGTATTCCCCACCCCATATACATACACCCTCCAAAAAAAAAAAACCTTTTCGTGTTGAATTTGTGGCAACCTTGCCAAGCCAACTGCACCACTATGAGCTTGCTTCTGACTGTGACCCTGGCTTTGACCAAGTACTCCCTATACAGGGCCAAAACCTCAATGGTCCTTCTGCATCCCAAAACATCAAACTCTATTAAGGTCCAAGGACAAGGCCAACTCTGAATGACCAGCCCTTGGACTTCTTAAAGGGTCTTGGGCTCTGCAGTAGTGTTCATTTACTTCCTGACATAGGCTTTCGCTAGCCATTCTGAACCTGTATATTTTCTGTACAAAAGACATCATTCCTAAGAATTCAGTAGGTGAACCATCCAGCCAAATTTATATCTCCAAAACATTTTTAGCTTTTTCTACATGCTTTGAATTGAGATGACATGCTCAATTTGTAAATAAGTCTTTTTGTACATTAAAAAAAAAGTAATTTTTTCATAATTTATTTTGTCTGTCTGCTTCTTCTTTGACAGTAGTTAATGAGAACCTGGGCAGTAAATTCAGTGTGTGTGAACAGAAATTGGCCTGTATTTTTTCTTAACAGTGTCAAAATGGACTACCCTGCCTTCACCAAGAAATGTTTAATGCTAAGGCATTTACTGGCAGTTTGTTTGTTGTCTTTGGAGGAAAGGAAGGAGAGTTTTATGTTTTACAAGGAAGATGTGGCCCCTCTTCCAGTGAGCTGGTGTCAACATCTAAGTTTGTTTGCCAAGAACCAGGTCTACTAGCTCCAGTTGTGGGCCCAAGCCCTCAGGTCTACAAACCCTCTTTGATGAGCAGTTTGGTGAAGTACAGTTGAGTTGGTGAGTTGGGGGTGAGAAGACCCCCCAAGGCAAGGCAGGGGTTGTTCTCTGGTACAAGGGGGAGGAGGAGTCAGGGCAGGCAGTGGGACCTTGAGAATGCCTAGCAGCTGGCCTGGGGTTAAGGGGCATCAATAAGCAGCCATGAGCAGGGACTCTAAGTCATAGGTGCCACCCTGGCAGGTGGATAGGAAGGACCTGGGTTTAGGGATTCTGTAGCAGCCTTTGACAGAGAGCCAGCCACTACAGTAAACTTCAGGGAATCAGTGAGTAGGGCATGAAAGTCCAGTCCTAGGGATCAGGACAGACTCTGGAACTGGGACAGGAGAACAGGTGTGTGGGAGGTATAGTACTGGGCCCCTAAAGCAGGGCCTGCACATAGTCTGGAAGCCATAGTTGCGTGGGACTTTACCCTGCTTGGTAGGCATTTGACTGAAAATTAACTTTATAATGCAACCAAGTGGGCTGAAGCGGGGTTCTGTGGTCAAATGGATATGGGGATCCCCCAAGAAAGATAAAAATTAGCAGATTTCCTTTCTGCAAGATGTCCCAGGGTATTCTCTGTGTGTAAGGGGAACCACCTCTTCCCTGGACTTAGGCTGATAAGAACACTACAGCTAGAGTCACAGTGCTTGCCCCTTCCTCACTCAGATGTTGGAATTCAGCATGCCTGACTAGATACTTCCACTCCTTTCACGGGCTATCTTCAGGACTCACATTCAGGCTTCTTCACATATGTCTATTGAAGCAGTCCTGGTCTGTTTTGGGGGGAGTGCCTAAAGTGGCTGAGCATTGCCTGAGACAGGGTGATGGAGTCTTCCAGCCAAGTATTAACAGTCCTGTCATGGCCATTCAACTGTGGCCACCATCATGCCACATAACAATATCCACAATACCTCAGTACCATAGAACAACATTTCGTTTACACATCTGGGCCAAATGAAAAAGCATTGGCTGATCCAGGCCAGGCTCAGTTGAGCAATTCTGCTGGGTCAGCTGGGTGCATTCTTGTATCTGTGGTTCAGCTGAGAGTCAGCTAATCAGATGGGTTGGGTGGTATGGCTCAGCTCTGCTCCATCTTCCTCCTAGGCATTGTCTTCTGTTGGTGGTGGCTGAAGTTTAAAGGTTAAGCAGAAACAGGTGGAGCTTCTTTAGGCTTGTGCTCAGAACAGATAAACATCATGTTTGCCTCTTCTATTGGCCAAAGTAAGTCAGTCACGTGGCCAAACTCATCATCGGTGATGTGGGAGGTATCCTTCTAAGTGAATATTCCTGACCTCAATCCACCAAAGTCAGCCCTCTGCTATTGTTGTTAGGTGCCATTGAGTCAGCTCTGACTCATAGTGACCCTATCTACAACAACCAAATACTGTCCAGTCCTGCACCAGCTTCACAATCCTTGCTATGCCTGAGCCCATCATTGTAGTCACTGTGTTAATGCATCTCATTGAGGGCCTTCCCATTTTTCGCTGGCCCTGCACTTTACTAAGCATGATATCCTTCTGCTGGGAATGGTCCCTTCTGACAACATGACCAAAGTAGGTGAGACCAAGTCTGGCCATTCTTGCTTCCAAGGAGCATTCTAGCTGCACTTTGTCCAGGACAGATTTTTTGGTTCTTCTGGCAGTCTATGGTACTTTCAGTATTCTTCAACACCACAACTCAAAAGCATCAACTCTTCTTCAGTCTTCCTTATTCACTGTCCAGCTTTCACATGCATATGAAGCAATTGAAAACAACATGGCTTGGGTTAGGCACACCTTAGTCTTCAAAGAGACATCTTTGCTCTTCAGCACTTTAAAGAGGTCATTTGCTGCAGATTTGCCCAGTGCAATACAACATCTGATTTCTTGACTGCTGCTTCCATGGTTGTTGCTTGTGAATCCAAGTAATACGAAATCTTTAAAAACTTTAATCTTTTTCTCCATTTATTGTGATGCTACTTATTGGGCCAGTTGTGAGGATTTTTGTTTTCTTTATGTTGACGTGTAATCCATACTGCAGTTTTCATCAGTAGGTATTTCAAGTCATCTTCACTTTCAGCAGGCAAGGTTGTGTCATCTGCATATCACAGGTTGTTGATGCGTCTTCCTCCAATCCTGAAGCCATGTTCTCCTTCATATAGTCCAACTTCTCGGATTATTTGTTCAGCATACAGATTGATTAAGTATGATGAAAGGATACAACCTGATATACTTTCTTGTGATTTTAAATCATACAGTATCCCCTTGTTCTGTTTGAAAGACAGCCTCCTGATCTATGTACAAGTTCCTCATGAGCACAATTAAGTGTTCTGGAATTCCCGTTCTTCTCAGTGTTATTCATAATTTGTTATGGTCCATACAGTCGGATGTTTTTGCATAGTCAATGACACATAAGCAAACATCTTTCTGGTATTCTTTGCTTTCAGCCAAGATCCAGCTCACATCAGCAATGATATCCCTTGTCCCAAATCCTTTTCTGAATCTAGCTTGCATTTCTGGAAGTTTCCTGTCAATATACTGCTACAACCCAGCAGCTGCAACCCTGTCAATATTCTGGATCATCTTCAGAAGATTTAACTTGCATGTGATATTAATGATATTATTTGATAATTTCCACATTCTCTGGGATCACCTTTCTTTGGAATGGGCACAAATAAGGATTTTTTCCAGTCAGTTGGCAGCCTTCCATATTTCTTGGCATAGACAAGTAAGTGCATCCAGGGAGGCATCTGTTTGTTGAACCATCTCAATGGGTATTCCATCAATTCCTGGAGCCTTGTTTTTCACCAGTTCCTTCAGTGCAGCTTCAACTTCTTCCTTCAATACCTTTGGTTCTTGAGGTCCCTCCAGAAGTAGAAGAACAGCAACCAATTCTTTTTGGTACAGTGATTGTGCATCCTTCCATCTTCTTTGATG